TCACTGCCAGAATTAGGGCATGAAGGCACTGCATTATTCTCGGGGAGAACACCAGTCTAGCATGGCACTAATAGCTGGTTTAAACAGTACTGTAGTTAGGAAAGTGAAGGTTAAGGTTAAAGTATGTCCCCTGCTATCACCCAGCACAGCTATCACCCTGCACAATTGTAATGGTGGTATTACAGTTCACAAGGCAATATTAAAGTAGTTGCATCAGTGTGCTCAAACTTTCCTTCTCGTACATCCCCTTACCAGTAATGGAATGTGTCCATCCTCCCGACCCCCGAGGCCAGGAGCAGCATCACGTCTGGGCTGGGGGGGCTGCAAGCCAGGATCAGGGACCAACCTGCAGCTGGCAGGAGCAATGGCCAACAGCCAAGCCATGGCCAGGAGTGGGGCCACAGCTGAGCCCAGGGCCAGAGCTGGGGCAGTAGCTGAAGCTGGGGGAAGGGGCCAAAGGTGGACATGGAGTGGGGCTGGAGGTGGGGTAGGCAGGGTGGCACACTCTTCCCATCCCTCATGGGAATTGGCCTTGGTCTCACCATTCCCCCTCACCCCGCAGAGATATTCTTCCATGCTCATCTGGGGGAGCTGATCCCACAATTTGAGTTAGATTGTGAGCTCTTCAGGGACGTGTCTTTTTATGCCATGTTCTTACAACAGCTAACACAATGGAGTTCTGTGGTTCCCAGGCATGTCCCATTTTTAAAGGGACAGTTCCGTATGTAAGCCCTCCTGCAGGTGTCCCGACCTTTCTTAAAAAGAGGCAAATTGTCCCATATATTCTGTCTCCACACCCCTCCTCTGCTACCATCAGGTTCTGCTGCTGGCCAGATCCCTTCTTGCCAGCCACCTGCCCATCAGCAGTGAGTGCGTGGGGGCAGGGGCAGTGCCAGCAAGGAAAGGTGGGTGTGCAAGGCTGGTGGCAGGGCAAAGATGCAGCAAGTTCCCACTGCATGCCAGCTTGCAGCCAGCAGGATCCTGCCCCCACACCTCATTTCCAGCTGGCACTGGCTGCATGCTGCAGTGGTTGGTGAGCGCATGCAAGCGCTAGGTAGCAGCCAGGTATGTGTTGCTCTCCTGTCCACTCACTGGTCCTTTACATGCTCCCCCTTTCACTGGCCTCTCCATGCTTTGCTCATTCTCTCCTCTATCCCCACTGCTTCTCCCCAGTACCCCGGTATAGCCTTAGACCCTCTGGCCTGGCCATAAGCCGCACTTAGTGCTGACCCTGGAAAGCCCCTCTGACCCTCAATTAAGCATGGTAGGGGAGAAGCAATTTCCAACCTATTCACAGCCCAAACATGCAGGCTCTACAGCAGCCCAAGGACAAGAGTTTCATGCCCTTTTCCCCCATGTCCCTCCCTGGGTCCTGCCCCCTAGGAGGCTGCTCCATTCTCCAGCCAACCTCTCATGCTGGCCAGGTATACTGAAGCCCCTGCAGTCAAGTTCCTTGGGCCCTGGTGCATAATGAATCCTCCTTCAGGCTTCACCTCTTCCTGCCTGCACAATAGCCAGGGGACAAAAGGGGCTGGGTTATGTCGGTGGCCAGCAGCAGCCTAGGGGCACTGGGGCTTTGAGAAACTGTGTGAGCAGGAAGGGACAAGCTGCTACCAGTTACACAGGAGTGGAGCGAGGCGCAGGAGAGGGGAGAAAAGAGCTCGGCAAAGACACAAGCAGATCATCCCTTTTCCTCTTGTCTCCTCCCCAGTAGCTCAAAGCAGTTTCTGTCCCATGCAATGCTGAAAGGCTGCTGCTAGCCCCACTCTTGTGTGAACCCTGGCAGAAATCTGGGGAGAGGATATATGACCTTCCCCCCCACATGCACATGTTGCCTTGGGAAGATGCAGTGTCTGGTACCAGAAGAGACTGCCCCATCTCGGGGGCTCAGCCAGGCAAAGAGGGTGGAGAAGACTGTGGGGCATGATTGGATTGGTTGGTTACCCCCACCTCTGAGAGACATGTAAGTGTGTCACTTCTCCTCGTGGTTGTAGGAGTGGAGGGGTGTGTGTCACTCCTCTCTGTGTGAACCCTAAAGCCTTAAAGATAAGAAGGTAAATAAAAAGAATCCAACTATGCAGTATTTCTTTGCAACAGGGTCTCAGTCAACATGCTGTTCATTTGAATGTTTCTATGATTGATTGCATTGAACTCACTTGAATAAGAGTGCCTCATAGGGAAATATGGTCACCTAACCATAATAATAAATTAAGACAGAATGTTCCCTCTAAAACTTCCCTGGTGCCTAAATATTATAGCTCCTAAGGTCTTCCTTTTAGGCTTTTGCACTGTTTATGTGAGTACAGGGAAGTTCAAATGGAGGTATAACATACATTCTACTATTGCTTTCTGCTGTTTTTGGTTAATTTCCCAGTGGATAAATATTTACTCCCATTGACCACCTTAGCTCCCTTGGAATTAATGCAAATATTCATTTATAGAACACAGATTATTTTTTCAATATGTTGTGTCCTTCAGACCTGTAACAGTGTTTATATTATAATTGGACCTACAAGACCCAGCCAAGATCAGGGGCTCATTATGGTAAGCACTATCATTACATACAAAGAAACTCTCTTGTCCATAGCACTCCAGAGCTGGAACATCCACAGGGAAAAAATCCACCTGTGCCAAGCTCCACTCTCCTCACCCACTCCCCTGCCTCTCACATGTCAGTGGTCCTACTGACCAATACCTCCCCTTTCTTCCCAGCGCTTCCAGAATGTCACAAACAGCTGGTTTGTGGTGTTCAGAAAGCTCCAGGAGGGAGGCAGAGGAAAAGGATGGGAAAGAGAAGAGGCAGTGCAGGGATGGAGAATTGGGGCAAGTGATGGAATGGAGATGTAGTGGAGCTGCAGTGGAAGAGTGAAACAGGGAGTGGGGCAGTGGTGGAATTGAGGCACGGTGGGGTAGAGCAGAGGCAGGACCTGGAGGAAGGAGGGGGTGGAGCTAGGGTGGGAAGAAGTAGGGTAAGGGCAGAGCAGGGGTGGGGTTTGGAGGAAGGGGTGGAATGGAGGCAGGGCGGGTCAGGGCAGGGGCAGAGTTTGGGGGAGGGGATGGAGTGAGGGGGCCTGGTGCAGAGTGGGGGGTTGAGTACCTCCCTGGCTGGAGGGGAAGTCAGCACCTATGCTCTTGCACCCAACGAAATTAAATCTAAATTGACAAAACAGGCAAAGAAAGTGAGCAAAGAACTTCAGATGGGGCACTGAGGTACAGAGAGATCTAGTGTTGTCCAGAGCTACATATAAAGGGTGGCAGGTTCAGGAACAGAGCTCAAGTCCCTAATTCCCGTTTCAGTGCTTTGGCACTTCCTTTCTTACATCCTCTTCCTCTGATACAGTATATTGTATAAATGTCCTTATACTGCACACATGACCAAGATAATGTATAATATGATATGCTATTGTATTCATGTACTAAACACAGATAAAAGCACAAGCCAGGGAATAGATGAGTTTTATATTGTGCTTGTGAATGTCTCCGATCACCTACCGTAATGTGCCAGAGTTGTTTCCATTGTAGCTACATAATGTGAAACTCTT